GGAAGGTTAGTTTGAACTTCTTTGACTTAATTCATCTTTTACATGTTTATATATTAGGGCTGGGTTTTGACACAAATTTCATGATTCGATTCGATTCTCATTCACACGCTTTCGATTCGATTACCGATTCGATTCGATTCAATATCGATTATTTTGGATATATATCAGGTACAGTACATGCCAAATTTTCTCAAGGAAAAAAAAAATCTCTCAACTAATGCTGTAAAATATACACGAGAGTCAGTTGGTACTACATTACTATAATATTGAAGGTTAAAATTGACTGATTTGTTAAAATTACACTAATAAAGTTACAATTACATAATAACATTTCTACTTCAATTCGTTTTTTTTAAATATAAACATAATTCAAACATAAATTAAACATTGAAGAACAGTCAAATTTATAATGGATATGTTATATGGTGCATATATTTAGCAAAATGCCCCTCTCTACAGTTTATTTTTCTATCTGATTAATGAGGTAAATGTGACGTTACGTGACATTGTTTACAAGCTGTAATATTGACGTCTTTGCGCACTGTGCAAACACTGATTGAGCGATTACATGAGACAGGATAGATACGGATTGTAAAGTTGTACTCTTTCTTTTAACTTGCCTTCGGATGTTTAGTCATGTTTATTTTGTGCTGAAGCTGGTATTAATGTGGAGGAGACGATCAGTTCACGTGCGCTACACGCTGTTGATCTGTTAATCTGAGGCGCTACAGCGATCTGTCACTCCACATTAAACAGCGCCAAAACAGCATTTGATTTATTGTTTGAATACTGCAGTGCAATGGACAGAATTTGAAATCTGAGACTTTGTTTCATATTAAAAGTACCAAAGCACAATGCTTTTTGCGATTTATTGGATGGGAGGTACCCTTCAATGTTCCATCCATTATTTGAAAACAGGCTAGACTAATCGATTCTTGGGATTTAAGAATCGATATCGTTCCTTAAAAATGAGAATCGATTAATATCGAAATATCACTTTGTTTCATATTAAAAGTACCAAAGCACAATGCTTTTTGCGATTTATTGGATGGGAGGTACCCTTCAATGTTCCATCCATTATTTGAAAACAGGCTAGACTAATCGATTCTTGGGATTTAAGAATCGATATCGTTCCTTAAAAATGAGAATCGATTAATATCGAGATATCTATATTTTTTACCCAGCCCTATTATATATAGTGCTGCTTGAATGTTTGTGAACCCTTTACAATTTTCTGTTTCTGCATAAATATGACCCAAAATATTATCAGTTTTGCGCACAAGTCCTGAAAGTAAACAAATAGAACCCAATCAAACAAATGAGTCAAAAATATTTTCTTTGTCATTTATTTATTGAGAAAAATGATCCATTGTTACATATCTGTGAGTTGGAAAAGTATGTGAATCTTTGCTTTCAGTATCTGGTGTGACCCAGTTAATGCAGCAATAAAGGCAAGTAAAGTTTCTTGTAACTGCTGATCAGTCCTACACAACGGCTTGTAAGACTTTTAGCCCATTCCTCAGTACAGAACCACTTCAACTCTGTGATGTTGGTGCGTTTCCTCCTATGAACTGCTTGCTTCAGCTCCTTCCACAGCATTTCAATTGGATTAAGGTCCGGACTTTGACTCAGTCATTCCAAAACATTAGTTTTCTTCTTCTTTAACCATTCTGCCACAGCCATATCAGCCTGCAGCCCAAGACTGGTTGACCACTGAAGCTAAGCAGGGTTGAGCCTGGTCAGTACCTGGATGGGAGACCTCCTGGGAAAACTAGGTTGCTGCTGGAAGAGGTGCTAGTGAGGCCAGCAGGGGGTGCTCACCCTGTGGTCTGTGTGGGTCCTAATGCCCCAGTGTAGTGACAGGGACACTATACTGTCAAAAAAGCACAGTCTTTCGGATGAGACGTTAAACTGAGGTCCTGACTCTCTGTGGTCATTAAAAATCCCAAGATGTATATCCAAATTATATTAAAAGCATTTGTCAAGTTGAATGAAATGACTTTATTTATTGCTCTCCAGTTAAAATTAAGTTGCCTCTTTATTGTAGTAGCCTACATATTATTGCCTTTAAGTGTACACATGCCAACCAAAATCATAAAAAAATGCCCCCCAAAATATCTGTGTAAATGGTTCAATAGATATGTTAAACCGAGGTCCTGACTCTCTGTGGTCATTAAAAATCCCAAGGCACTTCTCGTAAAGAGTAGGGGTTTAACCCCGGTGTCCTGGCCAAATTGCCCCCCTGGCCTTTGTCAATCATGGCCTCCTTATAATCCCCATCCACTTGATTGGCTCTATGTCTCTCTCTCTCCTCTCCACCTGTAGCTGGTGTGTGGTGAGCGCACTGGCGCCGTTGTCCTGTGGCTGCCGTCGCATCATCTAAGTGGATGCTGCACACTGGTGGTGGTTGAGGAGAGACCCCCTCATGATTGTAAAGCGCTTTGGGTGTACAACAATACACAATAAAGCGCTATATAAATGCATCATTCATTCATTCATTCATTCTTTGGTAACACAACTTGTGTGCTTGGGGTCATTGTCTTACTGCGTGGCCCACTTTCTCTTGAGACTCAGTTCTCGGACAGATGTCCTGACATTTTCCTTTAGAACTTGCTGGTATAATTCAGAATTCATTGTCCTGGACCAGATGCAGCAAAACAGGCCCAAACCATGATACTACCACCTCCGTGTTTCACAGATGGGATAAGGTTCTTATGCTGGAATACAGTGTGTTCTTTTCTCCAAACATAACACTACTCATTTAAAACAAAAAGTTTTATTTTGGTCTCATCTGTCAACAAAACCTTTCTCCAGTAGCCCTCTGGCTTGTCCACATGATCTTTAGCAAACTGCAGATGGGCAGCAATGTTCTTTATGGAGAGCAGTGACTTTCTCCGTGCAACTCTGCCGTGCACACCATGGTTGTTCAGTGTTCTCCTGAATGTGAACTCATGAACATTAACATTAGCCAATGTGAGAGGCTACCCAGGAGTTACCCAGGGTTCCTTTGCACCCTCACAGACTATTACACGTCTTGCTTTTAGAGTGATCTTTGTTGGTTAACCACTCCTTGGGAGGGTAACGATAGTCTTGAATTTCCTCCATTTGTACACAATCTGTCTGACTGTGGATTTGTAGTCCAAACACTTTAGAGATGGTTTTGTAACCTTTTCCAGCCTGAAGAGCAACAGCAATTCTTTTTCTGAGGTCTCCAGAGATCTCCTTTGTTCGTGCCATGATTCACTTCCACAGACTTGATTGAACTTTGGTAGATCCCAGTTCTTTAAATGAAACAGCAGACACTGACTCCCGACAGTCATTCCACTGAATGAAAACACCTCTGAACAGATGGACTCTAATTTCACCTTCAAATTAACAGCTAATCCTAGAGATTCACATACTTTTGCAACACAAAGATATGTGACACTGGATCATTTTCTCAATAAATAAATCACAAAGAAAATATTTTTGTCTCATTTGTTTGATTGGGTTCTATTTGTCTACTTTCAGGAAAATCTGATGATGTTTTAGGTCACATTTATGCAGAAATATTGAAAACTGTTCACAAACTTTCAAGCAGCACTGTGTATGTGTGTGTGTGTGTGTATATATATATATATATATATGTATATATATATATGTATATCATAACTACCTTGTGAAAGTTAACTAGATATCTAAATAAAATGTATGCATGTATGTATGTGTGTGTATATATATATATATATATATACACACACATACATACATGCATACATTTTATTTAGATATCTAGTTAACTTTCACAAGGTAGTTATGATGTCAAACGATTAGACTCAGTCCTTGTTTTAATTTTGTGATTAAATTTCAAAATGAAATTTGCATTCATACGTCTGACGTTTTCTGTTTTTTTTAGGAGCATGGCCAGTACTTATTGACGATTTTGTGGCGTTTGCGCGACCGTGCATTGGCACCAAGAGCACAGCTGTATAAGTACATTCCTTCTGAGAGCTGTCTGGACCTCACTGAAAACAAACAGCTTCTGCTGAGCACAGAGGACTGAACTGAGATCTGCATTGCCTTTTCCAAGCCCTCAGGACTGAGACATTTATACGAACCAGAGACATTAAAGGCATCTTTTCTCTTCAGTCGTCTAATGGTGGTTTGGGCTTTTATCTTTTTGGGCCGGTTTTTGTTTTGACTTCATACAGGATCTTATTCAGTCTCTGGGACTTCAAAACTTGTCGAACAAGCTGTCACAGATACAGTTAGGAAATGTCAAGATCTTAATTTTAGTACTCCATGTGCATTCTTGCTCTGATTGTTTGTTTCTTTCCAATTGGTTTTTATGAAAATTATATGTCAGAGTTTTTTGATTGTTCTCTCTTTTTTATAAAACAGAGTAGCTGGTGTCTCGAGAGCCAGTAACATTTGCTTTCTTTTTGTTTTATTGTGACTTAATGTACTTTTCTGTTGATATCCAGACAGTGATTTCACTTTGCTTGTTTGGTTTTGATTAAATCGATAGGTCATAATAACTGAAAATATTATATTTTACAGTCCTAGAAATAATATTAATTTAACATTACCTCAGTTTTCCTTGATTAATGACTCCATTTGATGTATTGATATACTGTGTTTGCAGTTCATTCAGCACTTTGATAAGTCACATAATCCATACAATAAAATCAGGTTATAGTTGATGAATAAAGTCGGATGGCCTTGAAAATATTTTGCTTGTGTGTGTGTGGTAGTTCAGTGAGTGTTTTACCCACACAGTGCAACTTCCTTTTAAAGTCATTGGAATACTTAATAGTTCACCCAAAAATGAAAATCATCATTTACTCACCTTCATGTTGTTCCATACCTGTATGACTTTCTTTGTTCTAAAGAACACAAAAGATGATACCAAACAGTTTTGGTTACCACTATGGACTTCTATTATAAAATTATATAATATCTAAAATATTTAATATTTTATGTTCTCCAGAAGAAAGTCAATCATACAGGTTTGGGATGACATGCGGGTGAGTAAATGATTTCCAAAACTAATTTCTGGATGTCTGATTTGATATTTCATTATAAGGGACTCTTAAATCACAAAATTAAACAGAACTTTAATTCTAAGAATTATAGTATTATTTTTTTCAGTGGCACAATAACGAGGTAATGCATAGTGATTTTTAAGCATTACATGTTTTCAGTGCTTTATTTCTTTATTTTTTGTTCCAGGAGGTTTATATTTAACGTCATTTTTAAAAAGTGAAAAGTTTGGTTTGCATGTGATACTTTTCTAGTAAAATAAATAACTGAATAATGTACTAATCTTTTTTTTTTTTATTCCTTCGGAAAATAAAAAAGCACATCAAACAAATCAGCAAATCTTTTTTTGTACATCCGTTTTCTATTAATAAGATTTTTATATCCAAAATAATTTTGTAGATACAATAAAACAAATGCAAAATGGTTTCTTTTTCTTGTCCACAAAATTCACAGGTTAATGTTTATTGAAATGTTTAGTAATTAAATGTTTAGTTTAAATCTTTCCAAAACATGCTGGATAAATCCTGTGTAATATTTTGAAAGACGTGTTTTCTTTAAAATGTCTTAATATGATAAAGGAGCGTTTGGCGTCACCTATCGGTCGAATACGGCACATCGATAGTTAGCGTCGTTGCTAGGAAACGAGTCTTGAAAACAACGATAAACTACGGCGTTCCTAAAAGACTGGTCGGTATAATATCATCGAGACGTTTATGTTTTACTCCTGAACGTCTCTAAAACAACAAAATGTCAAACACCCTGTTAGCAGAAGTTGGTTGGGACGCGGGTTTGCCATCCCTGTACACTGCAAAAAGAGATGTGTTAAAAATGACACGTTGTGCGGAATTTTAACACATGTAGTGTGTGCTCAGGGACAACACATGTTGTGTCAAATTTAACACAATTTGTGTTAAGATGGATCACACATCTACTGTGTAATGTAATTTAACACACAACGGTGTCATTTAAACGCATTATGTGTAACTGAAAATTATCAGAAACTACTAATTAATGTGTTAATATGACAAAAATAATAAGCATTGCCATCAATTTGTAATTCTACAAAATTGAAATAAAACAGACAGATGTAAAAATGTTAGCAATTTAATTTGTCAAAAATGTTGTCAGGGTAGAGAACAATGCATGCACAGAGGCACAACAAAATGTTCTAAATCTCAATTTCATAAATTTAAT